GGCCAAGGGACACCCAGCGGCGCGGCGCAGTGGGGCCCGTCGCTTGCGCCGGTAAGCGCCGCCGGCTCCAGCCGGGCTGCAGCACGTGGTGCCTGCGCTTCTCTCCTAGGTCCCGGTGGAAGGCATTGCCGTCTTACGCCAGTTCCCGTTCTCCTCAGCCCTGCAGAGGATGTCGGTCCTCGCACAGGAAATCGGAGGGGAGCAGCGGGTCTTCATGAAGGGGGCGCCGGAGACGGTGGCCAAGTTCTGCAGACCAGAGACCGGTGAGCAGCATCTCGCCCGGCGCTGAAAGGCGGCTCTGGAAGGGCGCGGGTCCCGCACCGCGGGGGGAGAGAGCCGGCGTCAATGCCTGGGGCCAGACGCTCGCGCGCAGCCTGAGTGGGAGCGCCTCTCGGCAGCGACTCGCTCTGGCCGCTCGGGGCGGGTATCCTCTAGCCCAGCTCGGCCAGAGGGCGCCGCTGAGAGAAGAGCCGAAGGTGCAAACTGGTGGCATCCTCCACAGCAGACCTTGCCCAGGCCCCAGCCAACAGCAGCCAAGCAGAATTGTCTTTTCTTTGCTCTTGGCTACAGCGACCCACATGAGTCGCAGACTGAGCTAATGGTTAGAGCTGGGGAGTAGAAGTCAAGAGTCCTGGGTTCCGAGCCAGCCTCAGCCACTCGCTCGCCATGTGCCCTTAGTCAAGTCACTTAATCTGCCTGAGCATTGTTTAGCCATCTGTAAAATGGTGAGAAAGACACGGCCTGAGGAGGGTTTACCTGCAGCAGGAAAGCAATCGGGGGCCGTGGCCGGACGGTGACAGGGAAGGGCAGTGTTGTCACTGGGGGTATGTCTACACTAGCCCCCTAGTTCGAACTAGGGTGGTTAATGTAGGCAACCAGAGTTGCAAATGAAGCCCGGGATTTGAATTTCCTGGGCTTCATTTGCATGTTGCCGGGCGCCGCCATTTTTAAATATCCGCTAGTGCGGACTCCATGCCCATGGCTACACGCGGCACGGACTAGGTAGTTCGGACTAGGCTTCCTATTCCGAACTCCCGTTACTCCTCGTGGGACGTCCAGGCCGCAGGGTTTCCTGCCTTCTCTATGTATTTCCCAGCAGCGAGTGTCTGCCCACGCTGGTCTGCCGGCTGCCCAGCCCGGCCCTGGCCCCCG